AATCCCAAGTAGGCAATAGGTATCAATAAAGAAGAAAAGGTGTGCAAAAACACAGGAGTCTGGTACCTAAGTGAAAGAGTACAATTGTCTGATAATTATGATTAAAGATTTCTTTAGTTTAGTAAGAGTTGAGAAAATAAGCTACCATGGACATAATGAAGACGGAATAATTAAGTACAATTATCAGAATTCTCCAATAGCACAAATTCAATATTTAATGATTGAAATTAAAGAAATATTTATTATTTTTGTGTTGGGACAAATTTATTTCTGAGAAAGATAATGTCTTTGGAATTTAAGCTATAGGTAGGTCCCTTGATAAAGGCAGAGACATTTCTAATGTCACACTGCTAATGTCATATCCATTAGCAGACATGCTTTAAAAAAGACATACAGAATAATTAAAGAAGCAAGGAGGTAGGGATTGAAAATTCTAAATTCCTAATTTATCTTTAAATTAATAACTAAGGCAACAAAGGTAGGAAAAGATGGGTGCTATGTTGACTGGACATTTAAGTGTATTAGAACTAATATAAAAAGGAATCCATTTGGGTTATATTGAAAGGAACAGGTGCTTAACCTGGGAGAATTCAAAATGTATTAAAATATACTACTTTTAAATTAGGATTAAATGACTGAAAAGAGCCAAGATGTCCTATTAGTTTTTGCACCTTTGAAGATTAAACTAGGTCTTAAGTCTTAGAAAAATTGAGAAAAATGAGCGAAGATAATGATGAGGCACATAATGTTGCGCCACCACAACATAAATTTGTATCCTGAATGAGGGTAACCACAGAGCTGCTTTTTGAGAGATTATTTGTGCTAAATAAAGATAAGGATATGTTTGAAATCCTGCCTATACTACTACTTTACCACTACCATAATTATCTGATAGAAGATGCAAACTACCGATTACTGATACAGGGTTGAATGTACTTACCTACTATCTCAGAGTCATAATAATCCTGTGTGCCTTCCTGGAAGACAAGACAGGGTATCTTTATGATTTTAGAGCATGAATTTGGAAAATGGTAGGCCCATTTGTATAAGTTCATGTCCATCAAGAGGAATACAAAATAGGATCTACCGTCTGTGGGGTTCCTCAACTATACAAAGGGAAATTAAAACTCAACCAAGCAAACTCCTGCCGTCAAGTCAATTCCGACTCACAGGGGCCTACAGGACAGTGTAGAACTGTCCCTTATGGGTTTCCAAGACTGTAAGTCTTTATGGGAGGAGAAAACCTAGTCTTTAACCCTTAAAGGACTAGTAACATTGTGGTTAGCAGCACTATGTATAACCACATACCAGGGAAATTAAAGGTTTCTTAAAAATTCTAAGTAGAGGGAAGAGTTAAACCTCAAAATTTTGGTGTTGTATTTTGTTGTTGCTTTTAAAATTTATATGCTTATGACAGTTTCCAGATTTTATTTCCATTAAGCAGGATGAAGAAAGGCGAAAGGCTTGCAATTTTATTTGAATGAACTACAGAATATCCATAAAAAAACCCACAAAAACCAATTTTATACTACATGTTTTGTTTTAATACCTAAGGTAAGTTTTAAGGTGAAAAATACATTCATTTGCATTTATTAATCAAACCAGCTAAAGATTTTCCCGAGACTGCAGGTCACAGATCTCTATTAGTGGCCAGGCAGTCAATGAAATGAGTGTTCTAGGTAATTCAGATGAACACTTGGAAGTATTTCCAACATAACCAGTGTGGTCAAATGCTATTCATAACACTGTAATTTTAAAAGTTCCTCAGTAGTCTTAATATTCAGCACTATTTTAAGTTCTGTAGTTCTGTATGTGTATGTGTTTGCGGGGAGAGTCTTTCCTGTGTATTATACAATGCTTAGAAGCACTTCCTGACTTTGGCACACTAGAAGCTAGTATTAGCATTCCCACCGCCCTAGTTGTGACAACCAAAAATGTCTCCAGACACTGCCAAATGTCATCTGGCATGCAAAGATTTCGATAGCTAAGAACCACTGCAAAGAGAAAAGAACCGAGTCATCACAAGGTCCAGAGGGGAACAAATATATCAAATTCAAATGACCCAGAGTCATAAAAATTTCCACTACATGAGGATTGACAGCAGTATCACTGGTGCATTTGGACCCATCATCTTACATCGATGTTCTCAATGTGAAACTTTATTAGCTTTTAACTTTGTTCATTTAGTTTGTAGTCTGTTTTGTTTTGGTAGAATTTTCCCCCCTTTTAAATAGAACGTGTACATTATTCAAGTTGAAGTTGTACCTCTCTTTTTTTTCCTACTTAAAACTTTCCTCAAGATTTCTCATCAACTAAAATATACTTTTTGTGCATGAAGTTTCTTCTGGAGTTTTAAAATTTATCACAGACAATTTTTAATTAAAGAAATTCTCAAGAGCCCACAGGGACATTAAATGTCTTAACTTTTATTATAAATGTAATAAAAAGAATAACTTGGATATCTAGATGATAATGACATTAAAAAGCTGGAAAAATTAGCATTCACCTTTGCATTCTTGTTTCTTGAAAAACAATTCTATGAAAGATAATAAACTAACAAGCTATCAACAGATTTTGTTCTCAGATATACTAACGTTCTCTTTGAATCACAGTATTGATAACATATTAAAACAATGTCCAAAAGTGCAAAGAAGTTGAAAAACTGCCTTGAAAACAAATGTATCCTTTTAATAACAATATTAATGGAAGAATCTTAAGTTGATTATTTGTAAAATAGATTATTGCAAAAAAATATGAGATCACAACCAGCTTACAAATGATCCCTGTGCGTTTAGGAGTAAAACTTGTTTGCCTTCTATGTGTGTACTGAAATCTTATGATTGGATGGAAGATAAAGAAGTAGTTAAAAAAAAAATCTTGGTTTAACAGGTCCAGTTGAAGAGATAATATCCCTGGGATGTTCATGAATCTTACAAGCTTAACAAATAAAACTACTGTACAAATACCACTACTGTATCATCAAAGAACCACTACGTACTGTTAAAGTCACCTAAGTTCAAATAGCTCACAATTCCTTAATAATTTAGAACTCCTTTATAGATCCCACCCTTTTTCCCCTAAAATTCCCCCAGGGGAATTACTGTCATCTTTACACCTATAACTACTTAGTATGAATTTTAGAACTGATTAAAACAAAAATAGAATGCATAGAAAGCATTATTCCTTTTTTCAGTAAGCTCTTCAACATGCAGCATTAGTTTTTTGTTAAAGTTAAGGCAATTTTTAATTTTCTTATCTTCTCAATACCTAATTACCTCCCAACCCATACTTAAGAACTAAACGACTTAGAGAAAATGAAAAGTTCCAATGATATTATGTTGAATTACCAAATTAAATAAAAACTTAGAAATCAAAGCCAAAATCTCGATGTAATCTTTATGAGACAACCCATAATTTTTTGTTCTACTTAAAATAGTTGAGGGGACATGAGGGGAGGGAGAGAGGAAGAGCTACGTCAGGACAGCCACTACTGTAACAAGCAAATGTGCCAGATGACCTGAGGCAAAGACCAACTGGCAAAAGCAGTAGTATTCCACTCATAAATGTTACAGTTAACACGAGATACAGTGGTAATTTCTTTGTTAGAAGGTTAACAATTCCTCACCTGCTTGTGTGCATGATCATAGGAGTTGATATGGTTGTCAAATTCCTGGTGTTTCTGATACTGCTTATCACAGAGTTCACAGTAGAAGTTGGCTCTGAGGTCTTCCAAGGCTTTTGCTATTGCCTTTTCTTTGTCAACATAATCCTGTAAGAACCACAAAATACAAACAAACAAAAAAGGAACTCAATAAAAGTTTAAGTAAAGGCGATAAAGCTGCCTTCCCTGAAGGGAGAAAAAAGGGTAATGCATTTAACGTTATCAGTCAAAGCTGGAGAGTGCACAAATGGTAATTTGGTGGGGGATAATGTGGGTGGTTATAGTTAAGTCATTTTCAAATAAACAAATATTCAAAGGAGTTTAATTTAGCTTTCCCTTTAGGCACTACAGTGAACTAACTACTCTGTCATGCCCTGCTCCTAAGTTACATTCTAACTGGCCTAAAAAACAAGCAGATTTCATTAAAATTACATTTTTAATGGCATTGCTGGACCTAATAGAAGAGAGATAAAGCTTCAAAAAAGGCAATTGGAGAAAATTAAAAGTTCACTATGATTTGAATCTGAAACCAGACCATGAAAGACAAGGGCTTTTCTGAAGACATGTGGATGACTGGGGGGTCTGAGGTTTGAGCAAGGTGAAGGACCGAAGTATGAGAATCTTCATTAAACCAAAGAACCTGGCAGTAGTCCGGAGAGATCCCCGGATCTTTGTGTCTTGGTAGAGGGAACCACAAACCCTCAATTTTGACCTAAAAATTTCTCCAGGTTAGGACCAACTAAACATGAGTTGCAATAAAAAAATTTACCCTACCCAAAAAGAAAGCTATCATAAGCCATAAGCTATCATAAACAACAGATTTCAGGCCTTGACATACTGTTAGAATGTAAAATAACTATAAAATGTTTAAAAATAAGACAGAACTACACAAACAGGAAGCACTATAAGTAGGTAGGTGGATCCTAGAAGCTCAGGCATCAAGGCAGAGCAACAATGACCAGGTAACTCATATTCGGGAAGGCTCTTGGCCTACTGAGGCCTATAAGGTACCCTCTACACAGCAAAGAAGAGACCTGCACGATTCTCAGCTAAGTCTGTTCATGCCAGAATGGAAGTGCAGGCAGCACGACAGGATCGGTCTTCTAACAAAGAATGCACACAGATGAGGAAAGGGAAGCAAAGGGAACATAAGATGAATTGGCTAACTAAGAAAACAAAGAGGATTCATGTGTGAAAAATGGAGGAACTAAGAACAAGACACGTCACTCGGTCTGATGAAACAGGAGGGAAAGCAGCAGAGTTTGATTAATGTCTGTCTACCATGTCATCAGTACGTCTTGCATCTTCCTTCATACACAATCAATCTGGAGGGTTATTTTTACCAATGATCTTGTAAATACAGGGTTTATTATTATTATTATTTTAATTATTATTTTTGATAGTAGATCTAGAAAACATTTTCAACACTAGGTTTATAGACATTGCTTATATAAATATCTCTACAGCACCTGTCTTTTGACAGGTTAATAAAACACAGATTGTCTTTAAAACACAACTTATTTAAAAACAGCATATACATATAGATAGATATATTCTATAAACTTACAAATAAGATAATGTGATACTACATATTTATGATATTCAACATTATACAACATTTGAGATACTGGTTCTACATATCCTAAGGTCTACTTGGATTGGTCAGTATGACAGTCTCTACTGCATTGTATGTCTTTATACTTGATGTTTCCTTTCTAAGAACTTTTAATTTTTTACTTTTTCCTAAGAACATTTTGACTACATTTATATTTATTACTGAAGTAATGCTTTCATGAATGAAACCAACTTACTGGGTTAATACTCAATTTATGTTCATGCCAAATTGACATGTGGTATCTGTAAAGATAGGTTTACCAGGAAGAGAATTTCAAGATTAGAATGCTTCGAAGAAAATCAATTTGGATATATATATTTGTCTCATTGAATAAAAGTCAGCCTAAATGGTAGCAGGTAAATGTAAACAGTTTTTGTCGTTTTTGTTGAGGAAACTGAAATGTGTGAAAATTATGTGTTCCATAAGCCTAGAGTTAAGGAGGAAATCTCACTTTATCCCATTCTTTAATGGTAAATGTTTTGTTTAAAAGGTGCAATCATTTACTGGTTATTTTTTTGGTACGACCAAAAAATAGTGGAATGTTGAATCGTGGGGGGCTTT